GGGGTTAAAAATGTATGTTGTTTACTCTTGTTGTCACTGTTGTTCATGTTATTGTTTTTGCTGTTTTACTATAATTGTTATTCTTAACTTTAATATTATTATTGTTAATATTATTGATAATGATAAATATAATATGATAATGGTGATTTAATATGATTATTATTTCATTTATCATTATCATTGGTATTATTGTTATTACTGTTATTCACATTGTTATTATTGTTATCATTTTAGTGTTGCTATTATTATTATATTATTATTATTATTATTATCATTATTTATTATTATCATAATTATTATTATTATCATCAATTATTTTTTGTTGTTATTAGTATGATTATCATCATTATCATTAATATATCTATTACCCTTAGCATTATCATTATTAACTGTTATTGTTAATATTACTAAGTAAGTAAGTATTGGAATTACTATTTTTAGTCATGGTCTTTTTCTTCTTTTTATATATTATACCAACATTATTACTATTATTTTATTATTATTATTATTATATTATTGTTATTGTTATCATTATTGTTATATCATTGTCTTAATTATTACTATCATCATTATTGTTAGTCATAAATATTATTATTATTATTATTATTATTGTCAAAATCATTACTACAATTATATTATTTTTTGTTTATGTTATCATCCTCATTATCCATTATCCTCATTATCATAGATAGATATTATTATTGTTGTGTTGTCAAAATCATTACTACAATTATTATTATTTTTGTTGTTATCATCATTTATCCTCATCCTCATTCATTATCCTCATATTATAGATAGATATTATTGTTGTTGTCAAAATCATTACTACAATTATTATTATTTTTGTTATCATCCTCATTATCCTCATGACCCTCATGATCCCTCACGGGCGCCACGAAGCCATCCTCCTCACCGTGAGCGCTGTGGTCGACTCGCGGCGCCGGGGAGGGGGCCACGACCTCCCCCCCGACCCTCGCCTGTGGGGTCAGCGCCGCGGGGGAGCTCGACCCTCCTGTAGGCGGCGCCCCCGGAGACGTCGGCGGCGGCGCTGAAGAGGGCGACTTGAGGTCCTGCACGCCCACGCTGGAGGTGTGGGTGGTGGTGGTGGAGGTGGGGGCGTGGACGGGGGCGGAGACGCGGGGGGAGGAGCCCATGGAGAGGTCGAAGGGGCGTGGGGGAGGTCCGTCCGGCACGCCCTTCGTCGATGCCTGCGGGGGGAGGCACGCGGGGTCAGATGGGTGGAAATAGGCAAGGGAATTATACGTATGTGTACTGTATATTGTCTGTGTGTGTGTATGTATGTATATATAAATATATGTACATCTATATGTATATATAAAATCTATATAATCTATATTGTCTATATGTTTTTATATCTACCTATATAGAATAATATATATATATATATATTATATATATATATATATATATATATATATATATATATATATATATATATATATATATACAATAATATGTATATGTATGTATATTTATTGTATATTATTTAGTATCAAGTTCAGTATTCATCAAATTCAGATCAATATTCCTCATTATCCATCTATCCATCCATCCATGTATCTTCTCTCTCTCTATCTCTTCCCTCCTTCCCTCCAACCTACCGACGTGTAGAGCAGCGAGGAGGTGCAGGAGGAGGCGACCTGGCACTGCGACCGCGCCTTCAGGAGGTCCAGTCTCGTGAACGCAGAGAGGGCGTGGGGCGTGAGTCTGTGGGCGGGCGCCGGGCTAAGGTGGGCGGTCGTGGGCGGGGCTGGAGGCGGGGCGAGGGGCGTGGCCTGCTGGGAGCCCTCGGTGGCGCTGGAGGAAGGGAACACGCCCCCGGCCTGTGGGTGCGAGAAGGGCGTAAGTGGGGGGGGCAGAAGGAGGAGGAAGAGGAGGGAGAAGAGAAAAAGGAATAGGAAGAAGGAGGAGGAGAGAAGAAGAGATAAGAGAAAAATGAATAGGAAGACGGAGGAGGAAGAGGAGAAGAGAAAAATGAATAGGAAGAAGGAGATTGAGGTGGAGGAGAGGAGAGAGAAAAATGAATAGGAAGAAGGAGATTGAGTTGGAGGAGGAGAAGAGAAAAATGAATAGGAAGAAGGAGGAGGAAGAGGAGAAGGGAGAAGAGATAAATGAATAGGAAGAGGGAGATTGAGGTGGAGGAGGAGGAGAAGAGAAAAATGAATTAGGATGAATTAGGAAGAAGGAGGAGGAGGAGGAGAAAGGGAGAAGAGAAGAGAAAAATGAATAGGAAGAAGGAGAAGGATGAGAAGGAAAAGAGAAAGGAAGAGAGAAAGATTAATGGGAAGAAGGACAAGGAGGAGAAGAAGAAGAAGAGAAAGAGGAAGAGAAATAGGAAAAGGAGGAGAAGAAGAAGGAGAGAAAGGGGAAAAGGAAGAATTAGAAGGAGAAGGAGAAGAAAAAAAGGAAAAGGAGGAAGAAAATGGAAAAAGAAGAATAAAAAGAATAGGAACAGGAGGACAGAGAAAAAAAGGAAAGAGGAAGAATAAAAAGAATAAGAAGATGAGAAATTAGGAGGAAAACAAAGAAAGAATTAGTGAGAGAAATTATGAAAGAGAGAAAGGATGAGGAAGAGAACAAAGAATAAGAAAAAAATGAGAAAACGAAGAGGAAGAAATAGCAAAGCAGAACAAGAAAAAGATAAAAAGAAGCGAAGAAAAAAAATATGTAAAAAAATATAATATATAAAATGACAATAACAATCTAATGAGGGTGTTGATTTTTATTATTAATTGTGAAAAATATGACTAAATTAATAATCTTAATTATCTTCTAATTACATTGTATGTATCTTTATAAAAGTATACTAAAATGACACGCGCATCAGGTTTTATTAATAAAATCATAGATAAAAGGAATAACATAGATATTAGCATAATAGATGAAGGAAAGAACATTTGAATAAGATTCATTACAAACAAACAAACGACAAAGACGTGCAAATGACATAAAATCAGTTGAAAATGGATACAAATTAAAGAAGAAGAAAAAAAAATATATATAATATATAAACGTAACCCCCCCCCCCAAAAAAAAAAAAAAATGAATAAAAATAAATGAATAAATAAAAACGATAAAACAAGTGAAGAAAACAACAAACAATTGCAAACACAAAAATACCCGAACAAAAACAAACAGACAAAAAAAAAAAAAAAAAAAAAAAAAAAAACACACGACAACCTACCTGGTAATAGTGATAGAGCAGCGGGTAGTGCGCCAGCAGGTCCCTGGCTCGGGGGTCGTGGAGCAGCTCCTTCGCCCGGTGGTGGTCGTACAGCGCCCTCAGGCCCGCCAGGCGAGGGTCGTGCAGGTCGCGGCCAGAGGCGGTCGCGGGGGGCGGTCGGGGGTAGGGGGTCATGGTGGGGGTGGGGGTCGTGGGGGGGGTGGTGGTGGCCCCCGGCGCGGAGAGGTCGTTCACAGGGTCGTAGGGCCACGAGGGGGGGCGTAGGAGGGGGTGGGGGGAGGGGTTCTTTGGTGATCTGTGGGGTGGGGGGAGAGGGGGGAGGGGTTGTTAGTGTGTTTTGATTGGTTTTTTTATGATCTAATTTTAAACATGATTTAGTATTGTTATTGTTATCCCCCTCATAATTGTCATCATTTTGTTTATCATTATTGTTGTTATTGTTATTATTATCATTATCATTACCATAATCAATATCATTATATTTTATTTTTGTTTACTGTTATTGTTATAACTGTTATTATTGTTATCATTATTATTATCAATTCTATTCTTGTTACAATTACAATTATTATTATCATTATTATTATTATTATATTACAATAATAATAATGATAATGATAATAATAATAACGATAATATCAATTATTATTATCATCATTGCCATCATTTATTTATATATTTTTATTGTCATCATCATCATCATCGTTGCTATCATTAGCATTATTACCAATATCATTAATAGTATTGATATTGCATTCTGGTTATTATCCACATCATATTTAGTATCATAATTATGATCACTCTATTAGCATTAATATTAACATTATTATTGTACAAATCAACTACCATCATGTTTATCATTCTTTTTGATGATAATGTTAGTAAGAATAATTATCATCACCATTATTGTTTTAATGTCTTGAATATATAAAATACTATTATCTATGATAGTATTGGCTGTAAAATGTAAACCTAATGGAGAAGGAAGGAAGAAAGAAAGAAAGGGAAGAAGGAAGGAATCAAAGAAGGGAAGGAAAGGAAGGAGGAAGGAAGGAAAGGAAAGAAGGAAAGGAAGGGAAGGAAGGAAAGAAGGAAGGAAAAAAAAGAAAGAAAGAAAGAAAGAAAGAAGGAAAGAAGAAGGAAGAGAGAAAGTTTATGATATCGAAAGATATAACAATAAAAAATACGATAAAGATGATAAGAAAATGATAGAGACGAAAAAGGAAAATATGAATAACGAAAGAGAAGATGACGGTGGTAAAGAAAATATAGAATACTAATAATATTAATAATAATAATAATAGTAATAAGATGGCGATAAGAAGAAGAGGAAGAGGAAGAGGAGATGGTTGGTAAAGAAAACAGAGAATAGTAATAATAATCATAATATGAAGATAATAATAATAATGAAGTGATCATGATGGTACAGAAGAAAAGGCGTAAATGGTGATAATGAGATAATGCGAAAGAAAAAAACGCGAAAAGGATAATAATAATGAAAGTATGATGATAAAAAAAAAAAAGAAGAAAAGGATGATAATAATAATAAGGTGATGGATGGGTGCAGAAAAAAAAACGAAAAGGATGAATAATAATAATAATAAAGTGATGATGATGGCACAGAAGAAAAAAAAACGAAAAAGGATGATAATAATAAAAAGTGATGATGAAACAAGAAAAAAAAAAACGAAAAGGAGATAATAATAATAAAGGAATGAAGAAGAAAAAAGGACAAGAACAAAAAAAAGAAGAAAAAAAGGCAAGAAACAGAAAAAAAAGAAGAAGAAAAAAGACAAAGAAAAAAAAGAACAAGAAAAACAAGAAAAAAAAGAAGAAAAAGAAGAAAAGAAAAAAAAAAAGAAAGAAAGAAAAAGAAGAAAAAGAAAGACGAAAAAAAAGAAAGAAAAGAAAAGACAAGAAGAAAAAGAAGAAAGAAAGAAAAAAAGAAAAGAACAAGAACAAGAAAAGAACAAGAAAAAGAAAGAAGAAAAAAAGAACAAGAAAAAAAGAGAAGAGCAAGAACTCAAGAACGAGAGCGCGAGGAAGCCTCCGCGCCGGCGAGCCTTACCTCCGTCACCTTGCTCTCTTGGGCGTCGTTCCATTGATGCGGTCGATGGAGAAGGCGAGGGGCGCCCGGCTCCTCGTGTGGGCGGCAGCGGGGCTCGGCGGGCGGTCGTCTTCGGGCGTGTGGGCGGGGGGACTCAGTCTGTGCGGGCTGTGGGCTGGGGGCGTCCTCATGAGCTGCGGGCTGGACACGGGCGCTCTGTGTGTGGGCGGGGAGGTCGAGGCGCCCCTCCGCGTGCCGGCTTTGTCCCCCGCGGTGTCCCTGTCCTCCGGGGCCTCCGAGAGCCTGTCGTCGAGGGCGTGGGGGGCGACGACGACCCCCGTGTGGGCGTGGGGGTAGTAGTCGTCGTCGCGGCTGTCCCTCGCGAGGACGGGCGGCGAGGTGAGCGGAGACACGTCCTCGCGCGGCCATGGCGGGTATTGCATCGGGCGTGGCTGGCGGCGTCGGCTCCCGAAGTGCGCTCCCGAAGTCGAAAAAAAAACAAATGCCCACCCAAAAAAAAACAGGGCTAGGCTAGACTAAAAAAAAAAAAAAAAACTCGTAGCCTCAGAATTGGAAAAAATATATATCTCCGAGGTTAGATATAGATAATATCTTTGGGAAAACGCCCCTCGATTTATTAGACATAAATCATGTCTGAGCTGATTGAAGGGGCCGGCGATGGGGCTTCCTGAGGAGGTTGTCGCGTGGGACTCGAGTGGTGGTGCTCCGTCGGTGCCATCCAGGGGAGGAGGGGGTGGGGCGGTCGAGGGGCAGCTAAGGGGGTGGAGGGTGGAGAAGGGGGAGCAGGAGGACCCCAAAACCAAGGGGAAAAGAGGAACGAGGAAGAAAGGGGAAGGGAAGGGATTGCAAGAGAACCCCAGAACCAAGAGGGGAGTTGGGGAGGAAGGGAGGGGGGCGAAAGGGGGTCAAGGGGAGGAGGAGGGGGGGGAGGAGCTACGTCCTGTCACTCAGCGTTGCCAACGTCATGCCTGCAGGGGAAGAGGAGAGAAAAAGAGGAAATTAGTAATAATGGCAAGGTAGTGTCGGAGCAAGTGCAGATGACTTTTTTTTTTTTTTTTTTTTTTTTTTTTTTTTGAAAGAGGGGATTAACGTCCTTTGAAAAGATGAGAGAAAGACAGAGAGGTGGAGGAGGGGGAGGGAGAGAGAGGGGAGGGGAGAGGGGTAGAGGAGGGGAGGAGGAGTATGTTAAAGGCAGAGGAGTAGGAGTAAAAGTGAACGAGCGAGCGAGTAAGTGAAAGGAGAGAGAGAGACAAAGAGAATTATATATTCGGTATATATATATATATATATATATATATATATATATATATATATATATATATATATAGAGAGAGAGAGAGAGAGAGAGAGAGAGAGAGAGAGAGAGAGAGAGAGAGAGAGAGAGAGAGAGAGAGAGAGAGAGAGAGAGAGAGAGAGAGAGAGAGAAATATTATGCACACATACTAGCCGAAATATATAAGAAAAATATGTACAAGTACTCATACTAACTTAGATATACACAAAAATATATATATGATACATACTACACATTAAAAACGACAGAATGAAAATAAGAACGACAAAAATGTGACTGTGTTGTTATCAAAATAAGAAGAGCTAACAAAAGACTCTAAGGATAACAAAAACAAAAACAAAAAAATAATTGAGCGTAAGGCATGAAGCAGCAGCCACAGACACACAAGGAACACTCGACAAAAAGCAATTGTCTCAGCTTCCATGACCTATTAACCCCCCCCCCCCTTATCCACCCACTCCTTCACCCCCCTCTCCCCACTCCCTTACCCATTCCCCCACTCCTCCCCACTCCACTCCTTCCCCCCACTCACTCCCCATCCCCCCTCACCTCTTCTCCCTCATCCACTCTCCCCCTCCATCCACCTTCTCCCTCACCCACTCTTCCCTCACTCACTTCCCTCCCATCCACCCCTTCTTCCTCACCCCCCCCATCCACCCCTTCTCCCTCACCCACCCACTCCCTCTTCTCCCTTCTTCAAACTCCTTCCCATTCCCTTCCTCCTTTAACTCCCCAGTTACACCCCTCCCTTCGTATTCTCCTCCTCCTCCTTCCCTGTTTATAGACCTCCCACATTCTTCTTCTCCTCCTCCCACATCCTTCACTCCTCATGCCCCCTCCCTACTTCTCCTTCCCTCCCCTCCCCACCCCCTGCCTATTTATAAAGCTCCACCTTCCCCTCCCTCTTTATAACCCCCCAACCAGTACCCTCCCTCTCTATCCTCCCCCACCTTCCCTCCCTCCTTATACCCTCCATCTTCCTCAAACCCCACCCTCCCTCCTCCTTATCCTCCCTCCCACCCCCTCCATCATCCACAAACCCCACCTCTTTCCTCCCCATCCCCACACCCCCTTCCACCCACCCCACCCACCCACCCCCTTCCTCGCCGTGCTCCAAAATGCACAGTTATAACAACAGAAGCTTTTAATAAACTTCTTTTTGCTCCTTAATGGCCTTTAGCAAGCACTTTGCATGCGTCACTGAAAGCACGGGAGGCGAGGGCCAAGGGGAGGTCCTCTAAATAGATGCTAAGAAGTGAACAATGAAAACCATTTAGCAGTGAAAGGCGCCCAATATCCAGGGCACCGGGATTCACAAAGCGCGCTCACCGATGACTTATGAGAGAAGCCTATCCGAACCGGCCCAAAGTGGACGAGGAGGAGGAGGGGGAGGGACACGCGCGCGGGGCCTCGTTCGCTCGGTCGTTCGGGGTGTTGGTCTCGTTGTTTTTGTTTGTTGTTTTTGTGTTTTGTGTGTTTTTTTGTTGTTGTCTTTTTTTGTTGTTTTTTGTTGTTTTTTTTGGTGTTTGTTGTTTTTCTGGGTTTTGTTGTGTTTCGTGTGTTTTTTTTTTTTTTTTTTTTTTTTCGTTTTAATGTTTTCTCTCTGTCTCTGTGTCTGTCTGTTTTGGCTCGTCTCTGTGTCTGTCTGTCTCTGGCCTTTTCTCTTTTCTTCCTATTCTTCTTTTTTGCACCTTTATCTCTTTGCGTTATCATATATTTTACACATTTTTTGATCTTCATAATTGTCTAGGAAGAGCCTTAACCCCTATTCCCTTCCCCCCTCCATCTCCTTTTTCTTTAGAGTTTTGTTTT